TGGAGGTGTTGATAAGACCTATGCTAGGTCGAACTGCTGGATGAGAACAACTTTTGGGTAAGCAAGGCTCTGTGAAATGTAATGGAAACGTCAGCTCTACTTATATCATTGTGGGAAAATTCTACTACCAGTCCTTCATCACCTTAAATGAAAAAGGGTGAATACATCTCTAGATCAAATAATTGCCATACAACGAAAAGAGACCGTCGTGATTCAATTGGCCACACCATTTTGGTCTTCATACCTCGCATATGAAGAATACATTTGGCTTTAACACGACGTTCATGTTGATGCAGTCCATATTAATCCTCTTACGCTTCGCAAAATTCTCCCATATCGCATGTGTACTGGGAATTTTGATGATCAAACTTGCATTTTAAAAAATATATGAAGACCAAGCTGATGTATGTATGGTTGCAGTATTCGTTTAATTTATAGAAGTGGGTTGACCTCGTTGTCGCAACTTGGTCTTGTCGTCAGGGCGACTTAATAGAACGCACCTAGTCCGAAGTCGTCTGCCAGCATCAGACAGTGGATTTGGTACATTCTCATACGTTTCGCCGGCATCGTAGTCGCCATCATTAGTGAGTTTTGCCATTCTTCGCAACGTTTGAGAATGTACCAAGTCCGCTTTCTGATGCTAAGAATTATGGCAATTACTATGCCTTCTACTAAGTCGCCCTGACAACGAGACTAAGTTGCAACAACGAGGTCAGCCCACTTGCTTTTGTTTATGATCAACTCTTTGAGACTGTCGCTAGATCACACATATGACAGGTACTCACCCTATTTCGTTTAAGATGATAAGAGGACTGATAATTGAATTTTTCCACTACCATATGATTAGACCTTAGGCTCCTATCGAATTGCACACTAACTCTGTGGTTAACGTGTCGAGATTATGCGCTGCACTATCATAGTTCGAGTCCCGCTGGGAGTGTTGTGCAGGCCTAGGCGAGGTCGTAACCATGCACCACTCCGTCCTGGATGAGAATAACTTTTGGAAAAACTAGGCTATATGAAATTCAATGGTAACTTAATTTATCATAATTATGAGAATATTCATCTTCCAGTCCCCTTATCACCTTAAACGAAATAGGGTGAATACACCTCATACATATACATATGATCAACTGGCAGTCTTTAAAACCTGTTTATAAATCTAAAAGTCAGAATAATTTATATTATCTAAACATGGTGATTCTCGAGGGGTGCATAATCACAGCTTTGCCAAGTTTTCCCCACACAAGAAAACTGTGTGCCTACTTATATCTGTAGTGAGTATAATTATGTGAAAATTAAGCTTCTAGTCCCCTTATCACCTTAAATGAAATAGGGGGAATACGCCTCATATACATTTGTATTTTTTCATTACCATCGACTACTTTAATTCATATCAAGTAGGCTTTTATACTATCAGCAAAGCTTGAATAAGACCCTAATCACCCTACGTCTCATTAGGTGAAAGAAGATACTGATAATTTAATTTTTTACAATTATATGAGGTTGCTTCTCGTTGCCAATGAAGTTCTCTTTACTTTGTTTCCTTAAAGGTATGCTCATTTAGAGTGGCTAGTAGTTTCAGCCTTGATTAAATCGACTTTGCTTGAGAAACACACCCTGGCTGAGCCTTAGGCGGAGTTCCGACTGACTGGTACCATCACAGAATGAACAAACGATCTATTGAAGAATGTTGCATGTATAGAGTGAGCAGAGACACACTTGACTCGGATGACTTATGAAGCTCTCATAATGATGGCTACCACGGTCGGGACTCTCCACAAGCGGTTCCATTAGGCTTGGCTTGGTTGTCGTCTTCTGATTGGTGCGAGAGGTCTGATAGGACCAAGTTTGGGCTTTGTAGAATTGCGAGATTTGGTTGGTCAATGTGAAGAAGGAGTATGGAATTGGGGTTTAATCAAAGGCTTGAAGACCAAGATGTCGAAGTCTCCTTTGTGGTATTTGCGGTTTTTATGGTCTTCATTTAAGCGACAGTCAAAAATGTAAAGCAACGAGAAGAGCCGTTTTAATTGGAAAAGGTAGGGTAATACTTCTACAATCTCAAATAAATAGGATGACCCTTCTTTCGTCCTGTTGAAGACGTGCTGAGCCTCCGCTTGAATAGGAACTTAGCCATTCCAGGTCGTTAAGGGCGATTTAAGAAATAACTATTGAGTTTTCCCACTATGGGTTGAGTAGGCCTCACGATGTCAGTGAAGTCTTACCTTTCAAATATTGCAGCCATTTCAATGCCGTCACTTAGTTCCGTTATACTCTCTTTCGAGATTCGAATAAAAAATACCATTTTTTGAAAGTAAAAGCGCTTTTATATACTACTACTATTAATAGATAAATAAAACAGCAAATAAATATAATGGTAATAATAATAAATCAACATTTGCTCAAATTATCTTCTTTACTTGGCTCGATCGTGTGCACAAGGATTGAAGATACACAAATTTTTCTTCTACACAGATATCCTTAGAATCGGTATATTTTATCTTTTTCCCACTTTCTTTCTTCAGGTCTCTTCATATTTGTTCTAATAGTCACTCGTCTTTCCTCACCTTTCCGTTCCTCTCGGGCGAAAACTGCATCAAAACTATTCGGCATAGCTTAACCGTTTGCGTTTGATAAGCCTTCAACTTCAATGCAGCTAACTCGGACAGATTTTATACGAAGCAGCCCCCCATTTGCTGTAAGGCAAGGGAAATCAAAGCACTTCTTTGATATTAACTGTTCCCACAAAACTATGTATCAGATTATGAGTGCAGGCTGAAAAAAGTCTATCTCTCAAATAGGTAAGCCATAGGTCGAACTACCTTCTTTAATGGTCTAAATCGGTGCGCACGTCGGATGCTCGATCATCTTCTATTTGCTAGTCGAAGAAGACCAAGTTTATGTAAATACTGTATGGAGAGCAAGAGGTGATAAAGAGCAAGGAGCAACCCTTGCACGAGATTATTACTGGCATAAGCCTGCATTTACACAGTCGAATAAGCAAAGCAAAAAGAAATCGGATATAAGTTAAGACAGTACGTGCTCGATTTTTGAGAGTCACATGGACGAAAATGTTAGATCGGCTTATATCTACGCTCTTTCACTTCAGAATCTCTCTCTCGCTGTCTTCTCGTATACTTAAAAGCGATGCCATTTATTTATATTTATTTATTTATCACAATTTCATATTTTGCATTTCTTTCCCTATTTGTATTCGTCGGGCCAGCTTATTCTGTAAACTCCTCGTCATGTTGACAATCTATTTCATATTTAAGTGAAATAGTCAGTTCATGAGCCCCGGATGAAAAGGTATTTATGCCAGAGACTGCTTCGAACATAGTGCTTGATGCAGCTGTGTCCTCATGAAATTCCACAGGATCACTCAGTACCATTCTTTAGGCGACTTTGATCTTCAAACCCATTTCCGGAGATCATAAAGGATACATGGCTTAACTCTTAATGTTTATCATAAACTATCAGTAGAGCAAATTGCAAAGAGGACATAAATATGATAAAACTGTGAAAAAAATAGAGTTTTGAAGAATTCTTTAATGCTTTATTGTGGCCTGACTTTCCATTTCGAAGGAAAAGTTGGTTGAAAGTCATTTGTAAAATGGTCTCAAGTAGCGTGGAGACAGTTGGTATGTGTGAAGGTACTCCCGGCTCACCGTCTATGACAATCATTTGGTTTCCAGTGAGACTGGTTCATTAATTTCTTTCAGTCAACTTTTTTTGGGGAAATGGAAAGTCATGGACATAATTAGTTTGTAATTAGCTTCTTAAGTTGATGTAGGGACTGACATTTGAATTTCCTACAGTGCCTTGCGATCCCATTACATTTCACTTTTCCCCCAAAAATTCGTTCTTATCCACACTGGGCTCATTTCCTACTTATGCTTCTAACTATCGGCCCTTGCCTCACCTTAAGTGTAGATACGAAGAGAAACTTGGTTTCGATGAATCTCCTGACATAAC